TGTGAGCCTGCTACCCCTAACTTTCCTGTAGGAGATGATGGGTTGAGACAAGACAATGACCCTCTGCTTTACTCTCTTTCAAGTGCCAATTTAATAACAGACCCTAATGCAGAAGTGGATGTTGAGAGGAGTGCTGTCTCTGGTCTAGGGCTTCGGAAACTGCCAGTGAGGAGACATGTTAAGCATGAGGGGGATGGTGATGAATCCTTTGGAACTAGACTTTCGCAGGTTGAAATCTTAACACAAAATGGAACTGGTGGTCTGTCAGCTGCAGAGAAGGCATCATCTCCTGTGGAATATGACCCTGCTGTCTGCCTAGATAGTAGTCTTCTGAATGACTGTGGAAGTGAAAATTATGAATTCATGGACTTTGAACCCCATACCTACTTCTCTGTAACAGAATTGCTGCAGCCAGATGATAATCAGTTTGAGGGAGCTGATGGATCTGAGAACTTTTCTGGATACTTGGAAAATGTTTCCACTACAAATATGGATGGCATTCCTGAAGAATCTGGAGCTCTTGGTTTAGTTAATAAATCAGAACCTGCGGCTTATTTACCAGGCAGTGGTTATCATTGTTGCCAATGCATGCGGATGGAACCAGTTCCTGATCTCTCTTGTGAGATTTGTGGGCTTTGGATTCACAGCCAATGTTCACCCTGGATTGGATCACCTTCTAGGTTAGGAAGCTGGAGGTGTGGTAGTTGTCGGGAATGGCAATAGCTGATTTGTGTACTGAATTTTGGATGATGTCTTCTTCGGCAGAGGTGCTTGCAAATTGAAACCTGAGACAATTTCATCAATAATCTTGCTGGCTGGCTCAGTGCATGCTGCGTTAATTGCTGCATGTGTCTCACCGTCAACGCTTGAATCATGGCTGTGGAGCTCCTCCGTTATGTGTATTTGTGCGCTGCAAGAGGTTAGTTGGCTTCTCCGTTGTTGCAATGGCTTTCTTGGTGACTGCTCAGCGACTGTTGTTTCCCCAGAGACTTGGTCATTGAGTAGACCAATATTTTTCATTGAGTAATTCTGTGACTGCCCACATTAATTGCTGTTTCCTCGGAGACTCGGTGATTAGATAAACCGATAGTTTTCATAGAGTACGTTCAGCACAACCTTAACTTGCAAAGAAGTTAGGGTGATGCACTGGATCGGTGGCATATAACGTGGCTGAACTGTTCCAGCTTTGATTTTTCATTTGACGACTCACAGAAATTTGCTCCAATATTAGTGAGATAAGCAGGTTTTTATAGTGCTTATCTGATTTAGAATTTTGTATAGATAAACTCAATTCTAGGAGTTCAAAGTTAGAGGCTCCTCTTCTTCAAAATTCATGGTGTATTTGCTCTTATTTTGTAGAATGCATCCCATAACCCTTTCGACTGTGTTTAGAAAATTAATAATGGGACGTGGTTGAGGATTAATGACCAAGAGCCCTACTCAGCGTTACGATTATTTTGGACCTGTAACACCTAAAGTATTAGAACATGAATATAAGTATACTATAAACACTTGCTCAAGGTATAGCCACGTTGCCCGTAAAAGCCCAAACGATTTCCCTTTCGGTTTGTGTGAACCAGATCTACAAGCGTGCAATCGATCGCTTGGTTATTGGCATACAAACTAATTGTTCCTAAAATTCTTAGAACCTGAAAATCAGATAATCAGATTTGTCTGCAATGTCTTTGGAGCCGATTGGTAGTGTTCGTGTTCCTCGAGGCCTGCGGTAACTGTCAGTGGCAGCTGGGTTCTGTCCACTGGATCAGTTTCAATTCGTATTTGAACGTCATTTCACGTCTGTGTGAAATCAACTACTTACTCTATGTGTTGAGTCAAGCAGGAGATATGGTAAATTGAGATTTGAATTCTCACTAAAAGAGATATTCATATTTTGTATATAACAATATCTCGAACAGAATTGTTTTTAATGAAAGATATCTATGCCTAGCGCACAAAAAAAAAAAAAAAGAAAAACTATATCCCACGAGTTAATTAAAAATCATGAATCATTTCCATAACCTGAACTTTTCCTCCTATCCCCACAATGGAAGCGTCATGTAGACATGAAAAGAAAAACAATAAAAACCAATACTCAGTACATGAAAACACTCATTTCTTATTTGGCTGTAGCCAAAAATTGCCTTCCCTTTTTTTTTTTCTTTTCCTATTTTTTGTTTTACTTCAGATTATCCCCCTCTGCTGGAAAGTCTAACAGGCAGCAGTGGTTGAAAAAAGGAGAAACTGAGAAGGAGCCTCGTCAGAATAAAAATGGAAAAGAACAAGAAAATGAGAAGGAGAAGAAATAAAAAATTGAAAAAAGTTAGAAACGTCGCCTGAGAGATTCGAACTCTCGCGGGCAGAGCCCATGTACTTAGCAGGCACACGCCTTAACCACTCGGCCAAAGCGACGGGTTTGATGCTCTCAATTGAGATTATCTAGACTGATTGGTTATTGTCAAGTGCCAGACCACTCATCACACCTTTTTAGATTGACTCTGCCCATCGTGCATTAATAACGGAATCCACAAACGCTCCCTAATTTAGAGACTACATTTGATACACAAGTTAATAAAATGAATGTGAAATGATAATGTGTTTTTAAGTTAATGTTAAGTAAAATAATAAAAGCATGCTCTTCCTAATAATCGTAAAATAATAAAATTAACTCCTACTCACATTCCAATAAAATTAATTTATATCTCAAACCTGATTTCATTTTTTTTTAGTTTTACCCTTATTTAATGTTTAAATGTTTTATACCACAATCTGAGCAAATCCTTTCATAGAGAAAGAAAGCATTTTTTTGGTCTTATTTATAAGGCACTAAGAAATTTTTGGTATGGATATACAATTTCACCTTTTATTTATTATTATATTGATTTTGTTTACATGAGGTATAATATATTAAATAGGGATAAAGTTAAAAAGTTGTTGAATTTTAAATGAGAGTTAATAAAATTTAAGATTTTTCTTGCTCTGTATAAAACATGTTATAAGTGATTTATAAATGGGACCAAATGAATATTTATTAGGGGTATACTAAAAAAGCATATTAACTACTCCTCAAAAGTTCATAACCTTTTTTTTTTATAAATAGGAACGATCAACCCTTTAAATTTTTTTTTTATAATTAGGAACGAGATAACTTACAATCTAATGATAATTTATCCTATATATTATCTCGTGTTCTTAATATAAGAGTTAGTTAACTAATTTGAATAGATTAAAAAAAAATAGTTAAGTTAGTTATTTGTAATAAATATGTGTTATTTTTTCTTAACTACCCTTGCTAATCAAGTATTATTTGATAAAATACTTCTTCCGGTCCTATTTATAAGTTTCAAATTTAGGAAGAAATATGATCCATTTTGTAAGTTTTAATTTGGATCTGTCTTAACATTTAATGTATTTTTTTCTAATGTTATTCTTAATTATTTTTCTCTCATCACATTTTCCTATACATTCTCTTCTATTCTTTTTCTCATTTATTATAAGGACATATTTGAAAATAAAAGTATACTCTAACTTATTTATTGCTTTTAACTAATTTTAACTAATTGGTTGTTATTCGTAAATTAGTTATTTAAAACTTATAATAAAGGCCAAGAAGAGTATTTAACACGTGCAACTACTATAATGACTATCTTGAGAAAAATAAATAAATATAAAAAATAAAATGGATTTAAAATCTTATATTTAAGATTAAATTAATAGTCAAATAAACTCTTGTATTATGAACCAAAAGTAACATAAATTTTTTTTTATGTTTATACATTTCCTTTGACGTCACCCAGCGAGGGAGGGGGAGAGAGAGAGTCCCAATCGTAGCCGTAGGCTTCATCAAATCACTAAAGTTTTCACGCTTTTCATGACTGGCTTTAGATTATCGCGAGGCAAAGTCTCAGTTTTGAACTCGAGAGCTAATGCCTTTTAAACGCTCATAAATTCGCCTGTTGTTGGTTCCCAGAGAGAAACTCGAGCACCGACCACGACCGGTGATTTAACTAACCACCAAAAATTTCTACACATTTAAATTAAAATAATGTAGTGCATTTTATCCCAAAAAAATTGTAATACAACGATTTTTTTTTGGGACCCGCCGGAGCACAATGTATTGAACTCTAAATTGATCATGAGTGCATAAAAAGTAATGATTCGAGTATTTCAGTAATTATCGTCGTCAAGCATGTCTACACTCATTGATAACACCTTTTGATCTTGGTTGAAAAAATTGAATTAATGGCCAAAAACAGGAAGGAAAAAAAAAAAAAACAAAGGAAGGAACTAGTGATTCTTCGTTTATTCATTACTCCCTCACCTCCTATATATAAATTTTAAATTTAAGAAATAGTATGATTCATTTTACAAACTTCAATTTAGTGTTTGTCTTCACATTTAATATATTTTTTAATTTTACCTTTAATTATTTATTTTCTCTCTGTCATAATATCTCTTATCACATTTTTTCATACATTCTCCTTTTTTTCTTCATTTAATGTAAAGATATATTTGAAAACAAAAACATATTTATAACTTATTTATTACTTTTAACTAATTTTAACTAATTGTTTATTATTTACAAATTAGTTATTTAAAATTTATAATTAAAATAAGCGGGAGTATTTACTTTGGAGCATCATTAGATTACATGGGTAGACCATCACAGCGCCCGTGGCCCAACGGATAAGGCGACTGGTTTCGAGTCCCACCGGGCGTGGGCCTGTTTTCGGTAGTAAATGAACTTTTAAGCTTCCCAATGACTCCCGCTGCATCCGTTTCTGGTCACTGAATGAAACCAAAAACAACTACGCGCAAGGCCGCAACATTTGCTCCTTTACTAAATATATGTACCTGCTGAAACAGATATTAACGACGATTACCCTTTTCGTAACCGAATTACCCAAAAGGAATTGTAAACCAAAGTGATTTTTCCCTACAGGGGACCATGAACTCGAGCGATCGCCATGATTATATACAGTCTCAGGCTATAAGAGAGGAAGTATAAAACCAATAAACTTTTCTTGTGTCTTTTGATGTACATCCGTTGTGAGTAGCGTCTTACTAAAGAGTCAAATAGTGCAACAAAGGCAATCCATAAATTACTGGCAAATAATACAATAGCAATATAGAAACATATGCCTTGCCTTCGTGGGGCAAACAAAATAATACAAATGAACCTGGGAGCCAGAATAAAGGAATGACTAGGGGCCCCCAGAACACAAAAACATGTTTCCCTATCATATCCAGGAGCGCAGAGCTCTACGTTAATACCACACATGGCCCTCTTTCTTCAAAAACCTTGCAATGGCTATTGGCTAAAGAAACAAAGGAGAAATGACATTTCATAGGATGAGTAAGTCAACCACTAAAGCAAGAACAGGGAGTAGCATTACAACACCATCAGCATATGTTAGTTTAACTTGCAACTGGTTTCGCAATGGCTTTCTTAATGGCTTCTGCATATGTCCTATGCTGGTAGGTGAGGGTTGATTCAAGAAGGTCCCAAAGTGATGTCTTGGGATTCCAACCTGACAGAGATGCAATGATCCATTAGCATAGGTCTTTGTTTAAATACAGTAATCTTACAAGCTCAAATCAGGTGAGGCAATGCCAATGAGTAAAACCTACCAAGTTGCTTGTTGATTATGGTCATATCAGGAATTCTCTTGTCACTATCATCATATCCCACACCATAAAACTCCTTGGAGCTCACATCAATAGTAGGTTTTTCCAGAGCCGGTTCGCCACTTACCTTTGCATAGATCTGCAGAGTATAAAAGAATAATTCTACAGTCCCAAGCAACATATCTTAATTCTAACAGTATGGTCAATAAATCAAATTCAATCCTCTCACCTGAGTCATCATTTCACCAAGCTGCTTAACTGTAACCTCATTGTTTGGATTTCCCACATTAAATACATGCCCATTTGCCCTGGCAGGATTTTCCTGTTAAAGGGTCAAGCATTTAGCAGATCAGCCAACAACAGCACTAATCTTATATCTCATAGTAATCACGTTATAATTCTGCTTAAAAGGCTGGAAATGGGACCTACAATCATCAACAAGACAGCTTCAATAGCATCCTTGATGTAAACAAAAGTTCTTTGGGACTGGCCACCATCCACAAGCTTGAGGGGCTCCCGACGGAGGAGATTCTGACCAAAGGAAATCAATATTAAGAAGATATTAAAAAAAACTCGGCTAATGTGTCAACAAGTTTCATTGAAAATTGTATCAAAAAGGAGACTGACATTGCTAAAGCATGCAAGAACCCGAGGAACACCCTCACTTGGACCATCAATGCCAGGAATGAAATCCATTCGTGGTCCAATCCAGTTAAAAGGTCTTACAATTGTGAACTCCAGGCCATTCTCAGCACCCTCAGCTGTCAACAATTAAAAAAGTCAGTGAGATGAGTCAATATTGATGAATACGAAGGCAATAAAGAAAGGGTAGCTCACCATAAATCAGCCTCTCAATCAATTGCTTTGCACAAGCATAGGACCATCTCTGCTTTTCAATTGGACCAAATATGCATGGAGAGGCATCTTCTTTGAGAACATAGAATGAGGGATCCTTACATAAGAGGAAAACAAAATGCTCAGTACAAAAACAAGGCAGCAAAGAAGACGTTGATAAAGGAGGCAGTTTTGAAACACTAGAATTCTGTCACATGATTGGATTGCAGGGATGATTATGGTGACACCATTTTAGAATCCCACATGTTAGTTCCACCAACAACAACCAAAACGTACTCTCCCAAGACCCTCTTATAACCAACCAAACACTATCTTCCAATACTGATGCAGAAGGAACTTGGTATGTGAAAGAAAGAGAAAGACGCAAGAGGTGAGGTTATATAACCCAGTCTTATAAAGACCAGGAAGAACAATGTGCATAAGTTACAAGGTATTGTACCAGCGAAGTCAAAATTGATTATTAGCATTCCACCAGAAAAAAAAAAAGATCTTTCTTGATAGAAATTAGAAAGAACCAGACGAGGGCTATCTCTGAAACCATAAGATCTCAACTTCCATCCACACTCTAGAGGGAAATAACATAAATACAACATATTGTATAACGAAACTCAATTTAGACTGAAGTCTTGGTGATTTAATTCAATCAGACAACTTCATGCTTTAAACCGGGATGAGATAAGACTAACACCGACAGTTTCCAAGCAGCGGATGCTTGTGATCCAACGGTTCAAATTATACTAATGTCAAACTATCATTCAAAATGATGGACAGATCTGGATGGCTTCCTTTGAGGAAGCCGAATGTGAAAATGAAAACTTACCTGACGAAGCGGGCTGTCCTTCGGGAGAAAGCTTCCAATCGTTTTCCCATAAACTTCACAAGTAGAGAAATGAATGAGACGTTTGTTATTCTCCGAACAATACTTCACCTGAGACCCAAAAAGAAACCCACATCAAATCAAATATCCACTTGAATCAATTCTGCCATAAAATGGAGCAACGGGCAGAGAGAATCATTCTTGAGTTATAGTATAACTACTAGAGAAACGACAATGAAATGAATCACATATACCACCGGAAGCGCATCAATGAAATTGCTATAGATAGTATCCAGAGGGCGGGTATTATAATCGGCAGGAGTACAGATGGCCGCCAAATTGATTGTCTAGACAGAGAGAAACGCAAAAAATAAGTACAAATCCAAGAAACCCCACCAAACACCCATATGAAAGGATGAAGAACGATACCAGATCCGCCAACCTGATGAGGCCTTCGAGCCTAGAATCTTGCTTAATGTTAAGGCGGTGAAACTGAATTCGGCCAGCCCATGGGAGCGTGTCGGGCTCCAGGAGGTGCTTGATCTTGTCATTGTAAACGTCCAGGGCAAAGACCTTGTGCGGCGTCTCGGCCATGAGCTTCTCGCAGAGGTGGGAGCCAATGAACCCTCCGGCGCCGATCATGCAAATGGTGATGGGCTTAATGGGGTTGCCATCCAGATCTAGCCTGGTGGGCGACGCCATTTTCTTGATTGAAAAGGATGCGAGTTAGGATAGTGCCAAGTATGCGACGGTAAGAGGAGATGGAAGAGAATTTGGAGACGCAAGGGAAGACCGTGGAAGCGGAAAATCGAAGTGGAGAGGCGAAGATGAACTGGTGAAGTATTTGATTCAAAGAAGGGGGACTAAAAAAGTGAGGGAGATGTTTCCGAGGGGATGTGACCCGCTTTACGATCGTACATTCATTTCATTGAGCAGCGGCCAATGGGTTTCCGCCAGCCCGCGCGTAATGACTTCTCTACTCGCTGTCTTTTTCTCACACGTGTACTGATGACATGGCATTGACCTTTTTAGTTTTTCCGCGTTGTTTACCTTTTCGCCATCCATCCCCTTGACCGCGTTAAAAATGTTGGAGAATAGAAAAGTTTTTTTTAATCATATTAAAGGAGTTTCATTCTTATTCCCATGACCATAGTGCGGTAGCAAAATACATTGCATGAGCAGGTGATATGTGGTTTCTTTGGCCAAAAAGAAAGAAAAATATATGTGGTTTCTTCCTCCCCTTTTTAAGTGAAAAGGGGAATATTATCATCCAAGAGAAATTTTACATATACAACTACCTGAAATACAATTACGCTTGTTTGGGGTACAGTTGGAAAGCTCATTCTAATTGATTTTCAAACTTCTAAAAGCTCGCTGAAGGAGGAAAAAAAAACCCGTTTGACAGAGCGGTAGAAATTCTCCATAAGCATGTTTTATATAAGTCGAGACAAAACTTTTCTTACATATTTATCTCGTATTTTATAAATCACTATTAAAAAACAGTTTATAAGCTACTTATAAATTATTCCAAACAAACTTAAAATCAAGTTTGGTTTAGTCTTGAGAGCAAATGAATTTTTCTTTAAAAAATTTATTAGGTTGGAAGTAAGATTTGAAGCTTATTGCTTTTGACTTTTACCTTTTTAATATTGGAGGTTTTTTAATCTGGTTTTTTAATATATTATTTAAGTAGGTGTTTTTTTGATACACTAAGTAGGTGTTTTGTCAAATTGATTCTTTTAATAAAAGTTTATCAAACATAAATTATATCATACTTCTAACTTAAATAAAATAAAAGTCACTGCAAACGTTAACCTAAACAATAAGTTAATGAATTGCATATTGACAAATGATACATGTACCTAATGATCATATTATTCTACTTCAAAAATCTTAAGTTACGGAGAAAGTGATTGGTGAGAGCCGTGCTATGAATAATCTAACGGGGGTATTTGGTAACCGCAAAAAGTGCTTCTCAGAAACACTTTTCCGTAAAACAAGGTAAATTTTTTCACATATTTACTTCGTAAACCGTAAAAGCACTTTTGAAACTATGGTTTGGTTTCCATCCAAACACTCCCATCTAAAAAAGTGTTTATTATAAAAGTACTTTTAAAAAATGTTTTTTTAATAAATTGAGATAAACTTTTTTATATATTTATTCCGTATATCATAATATCACTTTTAAAATTATGGTTTCATTTTTACCCAGACATTCCCTAAATATAAGAGTTAGATAAGAAGTTTATCTTGATTTTAAATATAATACCTCAATCTATTTTGTTTTTTAAATTTATAATTTTTTGCTTAAAATATCTCTATTAGTTGTATATAACTTGAGAGAAAACAAGACATATTTATTACAAATATATAATTTAACTAATTTTTAATATTTATAAATAAATAAATTATTTTTTACATTACTTTTTTTATAAAGCGCCAATTTTATTCAAAAAGTACATGAATAAATCGGGCAATCACATTCTATTAATTTTATCATAAATTATCAGTCATTTTTATTGTGATATTTCATTCTCACGTGGTACGTGTTTTTGCAACTGGACAACTTTTTATTAAAAAAGAATGCTAATAAAAATACATATGGAGTTTTGAGTGTTCACCCAAATCCTTCATGCACCTTGTTTTGTTTCGTTCCAGTCTCTCCAACACCAGTAACCTTGTATCAGGTTGTGGGGCGAGGCCTTTCCAGTGTTTTCCTTTCACGGTAATTATTCCTTTTTAAATTTTATGCTCGTGGCCGTATGATGTCTACCAAATCATTTTTATATTTAATATAATATTTAATTGTTGAATTGATTTTAATTCTAAATATGAAAAATATTTTTCATATTTATTATTTTTTTAAAATTATTTTTATGAATATTTTCTTAACTATAATCAAGTAAGAAGGGAATGAAATAAATTTAAAAAATGGTTATGATATTTTTAAAAAATGTTATATTTTTTATAATTACTTAACATATCTAATTTTTTTAATTTAATTAAATTAGTTAAATAAATTTTATATTAAGCACTGTGGGACCTCTCCTTGGTAGCCAGAAATTGGCCATTTAAGTAAACACGTGTCACTTTGGACTTTTTCGTATGCAAAAGTTGACCTGTACCCCCACTTTTTTTTTTTGGGAATAATAAGACAGTTCTATTAATAATAAATGGGCGTTTTTTGTTTTTTACGAGAATAATAGTCCACAAAAAGCAATAGGTGGATTTGAGAACATCACAACCCAACATCAGCCCGGACTGACGTGGGTTTACATGTAAACTTTGTAAGTTATAGAATATACTAACACCAGGTTTGCATGTTTATGAGCAACAAGTCAAATTTAACAATTTACATTTATAAGTTAAATCTTTATGTATTTATGCGTCAAATTTGTGGAAACATTGAATTCCTTTGAAATTTTAATACCACTTCTGATCTTAATTATAAAACCTTATTTATAAACTACAAATAATATTTTATAATTAGGATCGGAAGTCATATTTGATATTCAATGGCAATCAGTATACTAATTGTAGTAGGACCATATCTCCTATTTTTTTTAATCACTGGAGCCTTCTCGTTCTTTTGCATGTGAATCTACATCTACAATGACTGAACGAATATATGCGTTGAACACTAATCTTAATTTACCCGCTTGTTTCTTCTTTGTTGGATTCTCCTCATCCGAATTTGTACCATGTCTCAAGTTTAAGGGCTGCATTGATTCGTACTCTGTGCTTTGCAGTTTATAGCTTTCCGAAAACAGTGCATTTGAAAAGAGGCAGCGGAACAAGGCACATATTCCGTGGCATGTGCCCCTCCGCCCCAACTCCTCTTGTAAGCAAATCAAGTACATTTGATTTTTTTTTTTTTTTTACTATTAGAAAAACTAGAAACTTCTCTATGTGCAATATATTCTTTCGATCCTTAACATAAGATTTATTTAACTAATTTGATTAGATTAAGAAAGTTAGGTAAGTTAATTATAAGAAATGTGACATGTTTTACCTAAAATATCATAATCATCTTTTTTAATACTCCTTCTTCCTCTTATACTCTTCCGGTCCTTAATATAAGACCCACTTAACTAATTTGATTAGATTAAGGAAGTTAGGTAAGTTAGTTAATTATAAGAAAAATGACACATTTTTTCTAAAACACCATAATCATCTTTCTTAATACCTCATCTTCCTCTTCTATTTGACTATGGTTGAGGGGTATCTATAGGGGTAATTTAGAGAAAATTGATAAATATGAGAAATGGGTCTTATATTTAGGACCAAAACCAACTTAAGAATTGGGTCCTATATTAAGGACCGGAGGAGTACTTGATTATGATTGAGGGAGTATCCATAGGGGTAATTTAGAGAAAACTGATAAACATGAAAAATGGGTCTTATATTTAGGATCAAGACTAACTCAATAATTAGGTTTTATATTAAGGACCAGAAGAGTAGAAGATAATACAACCTCAATGTCTTTGAAAATATTCTTAACCCGACTCAGTCAACTTTAAAATGAAACGGGTATTACAAGATTTAAAATATAAAATTGATGATGATTGATTGATAGTGATGATTAGTGTTAAAACACCAGTTAAGATATAAATTTGTCTCAAACATTCTCACTTAGAAGTACAGTGAATAATTTATAAATGTCTTTGTAAAGGTTATTTGATCATTAAAGTACACCCCATCTTAATAAACTCGTTAAACCTAACTCGTCTAAGCTCTGTGTCAGTGAACAAAAGTGCGAAGAACACGTTTAAAAGGATTTATGGATTATGAAGTTTCGACTTTCAAGTCCAGGATGGAGATTTTTTTTGGATCAAGTTCTTTATGTGGCTCTCAATAAGCATTGAAAAAGGGCCCATAATTGGTTCTTTTCTATGGGAGCCCACATTACTAAAAGGCAGGAGGAAGGCTCTACTTTATGAGGAATTGAACTCTCGCCGTTGCGTTCGGCACCGAAAATTTGGTTCTATGTATTTTTAGCCAGAAAAAATTAGGTTCGGTGTGGAATGTTTGGTACGTGATATTTAGAGTGGGAAAGGTTTTCCTTCTATGATACAAGAAAAATAAGGTATAGCCGAAAGGTGGATCAGATATTACGGAAGAATAAAATAATTGAAAGGGAAAGTCTTGGCAAGGTTCTTCCGACTGGAAAAATTGCTTGTGAAGGAAGGCGAAGTTTTTCTTTGGTTTGGTTTTCTCGGCTTTTTGCCACTCACTATAGAAGTCTATTACGAGCTGTTAATCGTGAAAGACGAATGCAACAAGAAACAGCAACGTGTTGTCCATAAGAAAGGCTAATGCAACAAAATAATTTGTACAAAAAAGGAGTATTGTTGTAGTAATCCAGAAAGGCATCAGAGAAAAGTTAATGAAGGAGGTTGTGAACAGTGCCACTGATAGAAGAAGTAAATAGGGCACACTTTACAAAACTGATGAATCCATCTGCAACTGCATTGACTAATAACCAAATGCAAGTTCCGTGACGTCTCTTTTCCTTTTAGTTCTCCATGAAGCATTGAAAATGAAGAATTGAGATTGGGATTATAATTAAAAAAATCATTAAAATAGTATTTAATATAAGTAATTACTTTTATATGAGATTAAGCAAACCCATAGAGATGAGATTGGGGAATACCACTTCTTCGCATAGTATTCTCTAATCCAACATATATAAGTTTGGCTAATCCCATATAACAAGCAATCTCTTATACTAAATATTTTTTTAATAGATTTTTTCAATTGCAATCCCAATCCCAATCCCTCATTTTTAATATTTGCTACCAAACGTAATCTTAGTGCCTTTCCCTTTGATATTTATTTTAACAAAATCCTAAATCTATCCTCTTATTATTATTATTTACCTCTCAACCCCCTGTCTAAATATTTTCTCCTTCCGACACTTATTAAGCGTGTATTAGGCACTGTTGGACATGTGGTGGAATTGAAAGGTGGGCTTGTGGAAGCACAAGTTAGGACAGCTGAAAACACCTGGCATCAAGATTCAACTCCATACCAAATGCTGCCCAAAAAAAAAAAAAACTCCATACCAAATACTTGTTATTTACTAGTATTTTAATTTTTCTTTTTAATTTTGTTTGGGTCAACCTTGTTCGTTACTACTCCTATTCAGTGACAACAACCAACCTCCTTTATTACTATCAGCCATTCCGTCTTTTTTAATTAAAAAATAGAGTTAGGCGAACAAATTAAAAAAAAAATTACAATGATTATATATTTACATGTTTAATTTTCTACCAAAATTTGTACTTCAAACTATTAAGGTTTTCAATCAATTTCTCTTTTACGTCATTTTTCACACGAAAACATTTTTAAATAAAAAACAACGCATTATAACCAAGTACAAGAATAAAAGCTGGATTTTTTTATATAAAAAAATTGACATAGACTCAAACCATTTGGGAATGTTAATTATTATGATAATCTTTCTAAATTACATATATATATATTTGTCAAGGTGAGTTGGATTTTGGGGACTCGCCAGGGTTAGAGCATACTTTAAACTCAAAGAGCGCACATAGAGATATTTACAGATTGCCCATCAACAAGATTTTTATATTGGTACTAAGATTCAAACTCATAACCTTGTAAATTATGAGCCGACTCCTTATTAATTGGATTAACTTTTGTTGGTTCTAAATTGTATTTTGAAAGGCAAAGCATAACCACTGAGACTTGAATTAAATAGAATAGGCTAGTTTCTCATGAAATGTTAAACTAATATTTGAATTTAAATTCCCAAAATGTGCTTATATTTAATGTCTTACAGTGTCTTCAATAATTCTCCTCCAATAGGAGGGGCCTATAGTTAATGCAAGAAATGTTCAGAGAATTGATTAGAGCTGGAGGTTATTTGAGCTCCATATTATATTGATGGCAGGAGAAGGGTAATTCTATTTTAGAATGAAGTGAGAGACATCAAGTAAAAGCTTCAAGAGGAATACAGCTAAGAATGTTTATCCGCATGCAGGCAACTGAGGCCTCAAACTTCACCACCTTAGACTCGTCAATTTTAGTTACACAATTGCTTTCACTTGTTTCTCCGATTTCCCAAATGAAGAAGAATACCACTAGCAATTAGTGTCTTTGACACTGACATGATTCTGAGAGTAAACAGTAATGTTGCTACATTTATAAATTTCTTGGAATCACAGCCTCCATAACTCATCTTTAAGACTTCCTCTGTCTATTTCTCTATTGGGAAAAAAATCTCTTCGCTGAACAGAAATTGAAAGAATGGGCTGTTCAAGTTCTTTCTTCTTGACTTTCAGTCTTCTAATTGCAGTGCTAAGTGTGAGCTATGGGCAGCCTCTGGTTCCTGCATTGTTCATATTTGGAGACTCTGTAGTTGATGCGGGCAATAATAACAACATAAAGACCATTGTTAAAGCAAACTTCCCTCCCTATGGAAGGGACTTCATGAATCACATTCCAACCGGGAGATTCTGTAATGGAAAACTCGCCTCTGACTTCACTGGTAATACGAGTATCTTTTTCTTTATCATTATTATGGAAAGAAAATATAATCATTTTGACCTTCAGTTAAAGTCATTTGTAAGATTTAGATCCTTCTTTTTAAGTGTTTTTGCCAGAACAGATGACCCCGATGTTATTTAGGGTTCATTCAGTTGCCATGCGGCTTATTTTCTTTGGTCTGAACCTTCTGTGTTACCCACCTTGAAACTTTCTTCCAACTTTAATTCACTGCAGAATGTAGGTTGAATGTTTTTTCTGATAAAGTTTGAATAATTTGGTGTGTAGTATATCCTCATAGAAGGGGGGAAAAAGCTTCATGTGTCATATTAATTGACCATATTGGCAGAACTGAGATAGAAGGATATTATTATCATTATTATTATTCATGACTTGAAATTATCTCTTGTAGCCTTTGAACTGGCAATTAATCTATCTTGTGTAATTTTTTTGCAGCTGAAAACCTTGGGTTCACCTCTTATCCACCAGCTTATGTGAACCTAAAGACCAAAGGGAAAAACCTATTGAATGGTACCAACTTTGCATCGGGTGCATCTGGATACTATGAACCTACGGCGAAATTATATGTATCCACAACTACATAACTCGAAACCCTCCTTTTCCTTGGTTACTTCTCATTTTAATGGTAGGTTATTGTCATAATTATATTATTTTTGGTTGTAGCATGCAATCCCTTTAAGTCAGCAGCTGGAGAACTACAGAGAATGCCAGAACATATTGGCGGAAGTAGCAGGACAATCAAATGCTTCATCAATTATATCTGGGGCTATACATCTTATCAGTTCAGGGAACAGCGATTTCCTTCAGAATTATTACATCAATCCTTTACTTTATAAGGTTTATACGGCAGATCAATTCTCAGACATACTCTTGCGAGCCTATTCCAGTTTCATTCAGGCACGTCTATTTCTCACACTTAACCTCTTTCCTTGGATCTAAAACACAAGGCTTAACCTTCAACCTTATTTTCAAATGTGGGTTGACAGAAACTGTATGCAATGGGAGCAAGGAGGATTGGGGTTACTACATTACCTCCTATGGGTTGCCTTCCAGCAGCCATCACTCTGTTTGGTTTTGAAAGCAACCAATGCGTGGAAAGGATCAATAATGATGCTATCAACTTCAATAAAAAGCTAAACAGCACATCTCAGAGCTTGCAGAAACAGCTTCCAAACCTCAATTTGGTCGTCCTTGATATCTACCAGCCTCTCTATCAGCTTGTCTCTAAGCCTTCTGATAATGGTAAAAAGATTAGTGTCATGATCCTATGAAGTGTCAATTTTTATATATGCTCATTTTGTTTGAATCTCAAAATATTTTACTGGTGACATATCATAGGTTTCTTTGAAGCAAGAAAGGCTTGCTGTGGAACGGGCTTGCTGGAGACCTCTATACTGTGCAATCGCAAGTCCATAGGGACATGTGCTAATGCAACTGAGTATGTATTTTGGGATAGTTTTCATCCTTCAGAAGCCGCAAACAAGATCTTGGCAGATAATTTGCTCGCCGCTGGCCTCTCTCTCATCTCCTAATTCAACCACTTTTGGGCTCATGTTCTGTTTGTACTTGATTATGCTATTTGTGAAAGAGTTTGAGATTCACATGGAAGGAGGTTTAATGTGTTGAATTGGAAAGTTCAATGTGGGTTCTCAGGTCTGTCTCGTTGAATTATGACTAATAATCGTGCTTTGTATGGTTGTGTAAGATTTCATCTTTTATAAAGTTTCCCTTTTGGGTGATCAAAGATGTTCTGCTTTGCCCTTTAAGAGTTTGTGTTCAGTGAATTTATGTGACCGTTAAGTCATAGAACTAGCTAACTTCTTGCGCCAAAAGACACAGAACTGAATATTTTTGTTTGGTTCTAACTTCTAATTTTTGATTTGGAGTTCATGGTTCAGTTATGACCATGATTAATTCACTGACTAGTGAAGAAGAAATTGGCAAAATTGAGAGTAAGGTTGTTTACCTGAAGCAACTCACTAATCATCTAATGTAAAAGTCAAGAATGTTGAACAGTTGAAGTTTTATCAGTGTCTTTTAAAATAAAAATACAGTCGCACATTAAATTAAATTATGAGCACAAATTATTTACAATGTTAAAAAAAATAGAAAAACGCAAAATTCAGCCATGTCATTAGTAGGAATATATATATATATATATATATATATAAAGGGGAAATAATTTTACAATTACCTCTACTTTCTTTTAATTTTTAATTTGGTATTTATAAGTTTTTCTCTCTTATTAAATCATTTAAATTTTCTCTGCTAGCACCATTTTTTTTTTGTTTGACCGGCTCTCTGCTAGCACCATTAACCTTTGTGTGAGAGAATAAAGTTATGGAGGTTAATACAAAGTTAAAAGATTTAATCAAGAAAAAAAAAGACGTAAATTAAAAAATTCAAATTTTTTTTAAAAAAAAGTATAGCTGAAATAATTTTTTTCTGAAAATAACCACCAAAGCTGTAACTGTATCTGTAAGACACATGTTCTATTGCATTTATTTACTCTCACGGTCTCTCGATATTTTTCTTCCGTTTCCCCGCTTCTTCCTTGCTACTCAGTTCAATACATTGTCGTTCAAGAGAGCAAAAAATGGGCGGCCGATAGGGAGTGGAAAAACGGGGAGAATTTGTTTTGCAGCATTAGAGGCAGACGGGGAGAGAGAGAGGGGGAGGGTGAGATGGATTACAGTCTAGCGGCGTTGAAGTTACTATGCGCACAGCTGAAAGACGCCAGAGAAGTCCCTTCCCGGAATGGCTTCATCCTCGGCGGCATCCTCTTCCAACGCGCTTGGTTGCAGGTTTCAGCTTTCAAATTCCCCTATTCTCTCCTCTTCTATCCCCTAAACGCTCCTACTGTTTTCGCTTATTCCTAACAACCTCCCTTGCCACGTCGCAGGGCGTTTTAGTGTCGGCCCCGGACGGCGACGCCGGTCCTTTGATTTTGGACGATGGTTCCGGTCTCATCGAACTCTCCCTCTCCGGCGATTTCCGTCTCCAGCCATGGAGAGTTGGTAAGTTTTTCTAACTCAGTGCTCTTCTAGTTTTCCAACCCTCGCACATGTTGGTATTTCAGCCTTTAATGATCTGAGCTTTTATCACCGCGTTATATTATTCAATGTGCAATTTTCTTAACTGGTCAACTTACTGCATTGAATCGATTCTTACGCTTTGAAATTTATCTTTGTTTGTGCTAGGGATGTATGTAATGGTAGTCGGAGGATACCTTGCTCGGACCGGTGAACCTCCCATGATTAAGGTACTTGGCCTTTTCTTTTCTTCCCTACATAATTTCTGCACTATTCCTATTTGATAAGTTCTTATCTTTTGGTAAGGCTTCAAAATTTCGTATGCAAGCATCCTTTATGCGACTTCTTTCTTGAAGTGAAAGAAAATTATCTACTGGAAGTGAAATTATGATATAATTGCAGGTTCATAAGATGGTCGACCTTTCATCATTCCCTGACCGAGAGGCAATGTGGTATCTTGAAGTTTTGGAAGCATACAAACTGTTCTATCAGCCTCTTATTGAAGAATTCACATGATTTTGTTACATGATTGATTGGAGGGAAGAGCAATTGAGGTTGCCATCTGACATCCAAGAAACTTGCCGTCTCATGTGAAACTTTGAGATAAGGCTGCTTTGATAGTGTTGTGTATATGAGAAATTCGTTGCCATTATCCTTATTCATGAATCATGATAAATACTATCATTTTGAATTTGGCACACTTGTGATACCTATCCATTTTTTCTTTTATGATTCTCCTGAAAAAGACTTTCTTTCAGCTACTCTGATTTCAGATCATCTTGAATATGAAATTGGAAGCTATATGCTCCGTTATGGTTTTATCCATTGGGAAAATGACGTTATCAACAAAGTAAAGTATATTTCTGGATTCCGAGGATAGAACGGGGCTGTGGAAACACATCTCTCTCTCTTTCAGATTTCCTGAATGCTTGAAAGAGAGGCTGATGATGATTCAAAGAAAACAAAGAGATTGTTCCAATACCACTGTGTTTTTCTGCAGAACGGATTACACAGGCATAGCCGTATAGGGATCCCTTTCTGAGATGCCCCTCAGCACAAAACTTTAGATGGGCAATCTAACCATGACCTGCTAAACTCTTCATCATCTATAGTTTCTGAAAGCATGTAAAATGATGATATTCAAATGAAGAAATCACGGAAGAGATCTGGATAACCTTGGCAGGCCTTCGAGTATTTATCGCTACCATGAGCAATCCAACGTTTCTTTTCCACATCTGTATTAAGTATTAACTGGGCAACGAGGGGTTTTAATTTTTCTTGCAAGGTTCGTTTAACAAATAATAAAACAATTTTTACAAATAAAAACTTGTATCAACTTAATTTTTCTTGCAAGGTTCGCTTAACAAATAATAAAACAATTTTCACAAATAAAAGTTGTAGCAATGCTCTCGCATACCTATATACTCCTCCGGTCCTTATTATAAGACCCAATTTGACTTTTTATTTGGTCCTAATTATAAGACCCAATCCATTTTCTCTCTTATATTTATGTATTTTTTTCTAAGATAATCCTTCTAATAATGATAGTTTTAGCCAATACACTTAATTAGCAAGGATATTTTAGGAATAACAACACTTATTTATTATAAATAACCAATTTAACTTACTTCCTTAATCTCCTCAAATAAGTCAATTGGGTCTTATAATTAGGACCGGAGGAGTATATAATTAGAGAGAATGCATTCCCAAAGGAAAAAAAATTACCATAAAAAGGTTTTAATAACAAGTGAGAAATTGTTATTTTCTGTACTTATTATATGCTACTATGTCGTTACTACAGACGCTTTAGCAATTTTCTTCGCTCCCTAGAATTCATAACAATTCTCCCTGAATATTACTATTTAATATTTATATATTTAAATAATAGTTACTTGTCCTATTTACAAGCCAAACTGCCGACAGTAGATCATTATAAGATCCTGTACAATGTATGAGACTCATCGCTTAGTTTTTTTTTTTTTCCCCGGCCAGAACTTATAAACATTGGTTATCAAATATATGTACCCATTTTTTGTTGGAAAAAAATGTCATTAAATTAAAATTTTTCATCTATCATAAATATTAGTGATTATATGAAAAAAAGCGCGAAAGCGCGCGCACATGAGCGGGGTGCATTCTTACTGGGAAAAAAGAAAGCTTTGTAAAATGATAATTAATTCGAGTGGGCTGAGAGCAAAGTTACGTAGCAGTCAAATTTCAGCCACACACATATTTTTCACAAACACGTGTGCTTTAAATTGCACAGCATGAATTAATTAATTAATATTATTATGCTTTATCCAGAATAGACAATTTTTCATTGCTGCAGAGCGAGACTCCCCCAGGGCCCAGGCTCCAAGCTCCCTTCTTCCCATTCGAATTTCCTGTTACAATACATTCATGAACATCACAAGCCATACCAGAACATGGCTTTAACTTGGCCTAACCATCTGCTTTTTCGGTCTAGCACCAACTTTGATATCTTCTCCGATCTCACCGGACCTCACTCCTGTGAAACGCTATGGCCCACTTCGACTCTAGTTCGCCGGAGAAACATCACGTTGACGGCCAAGACTTTGAGGCTCACACTCGGATGCTTCAGCAAATCCACGGAGGATAAGCAGTGGACTGAAGCGGAAACTGTTGTTTCAGATTCCGATGCTGAGGGCAGAGACGAGGAGAATGATGCTCGCAGCCAGATTTCTGGTGCCAATAATGGGCGGGTTGACTCCCTATCCCAGAGAACTGCGACCACCACGTTTGGTGATTCTGTCTCCTTGGGAATTCGGGAACCAGTTTATGAGGTTTGGTTCTGTTACCCCGTTCCATCACTTCAATCGTGGCGTTCATTTTCCCCGTATCATTGTTGTTTACTCATTATCTCTTACTTTGTTATATTCAAATTTCTAAGGTTGTAGAAGTAAAGTCAAATGGGGCGGTATCAACCAGAAAAATCAACAGGAGAGAACTGTTAAGGATGAGTGGTAACTAAATTTTCATGACTAGACTTGTAAAGACCCCATGCAGCTAGTTATCTATCATGTTCAATGTTATGCTTATATTGAGGTTCTTTCCGTAGTGCATGTCGCATAAACATTTCTCTTTGATGTTTGCAGCCTACCTCATGTCCTTTCCACTTCTCTTTCGCTGTCCCACAATAATTTGCTGCCTCTCTCCATGCCTATAGAATTCAGTAGACCTCCTAAAATTAATTTGGTCTTCTTATTTATACTGTATTGTCTTATATGCTATTAATTATCAGGTCTTCGTCCAAGAGACATTCGAAGTGTGGATCCATCATTGTTTTTGACGAATTCAATGCCTTCGTTGCTGGTATAATTTCTTTTATAATATTCCACCATCTCCTGGTAAAATGTTGTGTGTCTTACTTGAGTAATTTCCATCGATTAGAGTTTTAAGTTCCATTGCGTTATTTAGTCAGCACTGCTCTAATGATAAGATGAATTAGGTATTATTTAATAACTAGATACTCATTATAGTTACTCATTGCTATATTTATTTTATATTTAAATTTTTTTTCCAATGGAAGATGTGTGCGGTTGTATAGTACTTTCTTGAAAATGCTTACGGAGCCTTCTTCCTGTTTTTAGTCTACAACTAGTCGGTAATTCGCATGGTTTGTCTTCGTCCTGGCATATATGTGTTGCATTACATTAAAGTAAAAATGGAATTTGAACATTTGAGCTTCGTTCTCTTACTTTAGTTTGCACTCATGCAATGTAGAGTTTCTAAGTACAATCAAGCAAATAAATAAGTAAAATGGAAAGTAAGATTCCGTTCTAAACCAGAAGTGATGGAGAGTGGCAATGTTTACATATTCACTAATTTAATTACGAAGGCAGACAGAAAAGCTTTTGTTGAGCCGTTCCCTGATATGGTGTCATTAGTGTTATTAGTCAAAACTCAGTCAGAATTTTCACGGCTCCTAAAAATGAAATGATTTATGGTCATCTGACATTTCTTGTTACCAATTTATAATGGCAACATTTTTTCGTTCTCGACAGTTTATTACTTCCTTGTTTTCTGGCAAAGACAATTATGCTATCTCTAGTGTATATTATTGATCATCTATAGTGTTTTGTGATCTTTGCAATATTCTACTTCATGTATCAGGTCCGTGAGTATGCTCTGCTTCTAAATCTGGGTTCATTGCGAGCAATTGCAATGCAGGAGCGTGTACTTATTTTTGACTATAATCGGTATAGTTGCGTGCTGCTTCTTTATCTTAATTCTATAACAATGTATCAAATGAACTAAACACAACTTTCTGCATCTTTTTATGTTAAATCAGTAAAGGTGGGAAGGCTTTTCTTGAGTCATTGCTGCCTCGGTTGAACTCAAAGAACGGCAATGGTGGGCCGTCTATGCCGTTTGAGCTTGAGGTTAGTCTAAAATACGTATCACGTGTTTGACTTGATGAAACACAAAACTGAGTTTGATGAACTCTATTGCACTAGTGCTATATTTACTTTGGACTTCCGCTCAATGTAAGTGCCACAATTGTAGTTTTGCAAGTCAGCACAACCGTCATTGTCAAATATGTTAGAAGAGGCGTGGTATACTTGGCAAGTAGTCTTTTCTTTATCTTATTTGGATTTGCGGTTTTATACTTGCATGTGAAAGTGAAAGAGCTTTACTTTTAGCGGCAGGAGAGGAAGAGGTTGAGAGGGAGCAGAAGTAATATCAGATGACAAGTACTTGGGAAGGATGGGAAATATCTCAATCCTAGTCCCATGGAATAAAGCGTAGTTTGTTTATTTGGTCCTTCTGAGAAAGCAATTGGGTGAAACAAACCTGAAGAGCATGGCATTTTACATTCCCGTGGCTGTCCAACATATGTTCAAGCTTCCCTGTAGTTGGGCATTTGAAGGCGGTTGTATAGAAACACTGATATACATACTACTGATTTTATTTTACTGGAGAATCCTCGGAATTGATAGCTGAAATTACTTGAAATCTACTGCTGGCCCTTTTTTGGTTGATTTCATAATGATAAAAAAAAGTATAAACATTGTTTTTGGGTTCATAATTGTGGCCCAAGCCCTGGTAGAGGTAGCAATAATTGAAGATGTTAAGGAATACAACGAAGGATGGATTAAGTGGTGGCGAACTAAAGATTGTTAAAGAACAGAGATATTACTAAAGCTGTTCATGGGTCTTTGCTAAATTGGTTTATGTTCAAATAGTTTTTGACATGACATCAGAGTCATCAGTAAAACTACTAATATGCTTTTTACTAGTGACTGAAACCTTTGGATTGAAATGTTACTGAACAAGAAATTATGCGAAAGAAAATGGTAACTTCAAGAAAAAAGGATTGGGCATAATGACATTAAATCGTGACAAAGCCAATACTCAAGGCCAAAATGAACTCGATCCAATAAGAAGAAAGAATAGCTGAGGAGGACATTGATGGAAGTAATGAAAACAATAGGCATGCCTTTGATAAGATTGGGTGGCGAAAGGAAAAACCACAGAGGTCCTTTAATAATTTAGATTTTCAGATGGTTACTCCAAGTCTTTAAGCTTAAGGCATACTATTTATGTCATGTTATATGCCTTCTCTAGTTAAGGGGAAAAATAAGATTCCTTA